AAGCAGCCACTTGCAGAGCTGAGCTCCTGGCTTGAGTTGGAGTCACAGGGGTTCTCTGGTTTCTGGGGTGGGTTCTCAGAAGAAGGCAGCTGATTCCTAAAAACTCCCTACAGCAGAAGGGAAAGAGGCCAGGTTGAAAGATGCCTTCCTGCTTTGTTTTTTTTGGGGGACAGAGTCTCACTATGTTGGCCAGTCTGACCTCAAATTCCTGGACTTAATCCATCCTCCTTGCCTCTGCCTCCCTGATAGCTGGGACTGCAGGCTCAGCCCCATGCCCTCCCTGCTGCAATTGGCAGAGAGCAGAGGAGCCATACGAGTAGCTGAGCCTAGCCCAGGGTGCAACCTCCAAAATTCCTCAAGCCCTTCTCAATTTCCACTCATAATTTCCGGCCTTGGCTCTGGCTTTTTACTAGGCTAAAATCCTTTAACTGCAGGCACCCATCTTCTTCCATCAAAAATGGTGCTATCAGGGCTAGAATTGTGGCTCAAGTGGTAGGGAGACTGCCTAACAAGAGCAAAGTCCTGAGTTCAAACCTCAGAACCAACCAAAAAGAAGAAAACCTGCTATCTCTGGATACCTATGTCAAAAACAGCCCTCCTTTTATTTAGATGAATTAATTCCATGCTTTCACTTTGTTTTTTGGGTGTTTTTTTTTTGTTTGTTTGTTTTTGTTTTTGGCAGCACTGGGGGTTGAACTCAGGGCCTCATGCTTACTAGGCAGGTGCTATACCACTTGAGCCACTCCACCACCCTTTACTTCTTATTTGCATACTCTTTATACCTATAGTAGTTATCACATTCTCCCTTCCTCAATAACTATGGATTAAACAATTACTGTATCCAGAAGACTGTATACAATTACCCCAGTAGGAGCATGAACCAACCAAGTCACTCACATTTTTTTTTGGTGGTATTGGGGTTTGAACTCAGGGTCTCACATTTGTCAGGCAGATGCTCTACCTCTTGGGCGACAACTCCCACACCTTTTTGCTTCAGTTATTTTTTCAGATCGGGTTTCACATTTTTGTCCTGGTCAGCCTGAACAGTGATCCTCCTATTTACACCTCTCTTCTAGCTGAGATGACAGGTACATACCAATACATCCAGCTCATTGATTGAGATGGAGTCTCCCGAACTTTTTGCCCAGGCTGGTCTCTAGCCATGATCCTTTTGATCTCCTCCTCCTGAATAGCTGGGATTCCAGGGCTGAGCCACCATGCCTGGCCTTATTATTTATTTTTTGAAAGTTGAACATAGTAGTTTGTGGTGAAAACAATTATTGACAATTAAGTTTCCCTATGATCTGTATGCACCTTTCTCAGAAAGATGAATTGTTCATTACTACAATGGGGCAAAGACAATGACTGAAAAATTGTGGTAAATTTTGGTACAGAAAGAATAATCCTAGTTTGCTATTTCAGGCTGCTAAACAAACAAAAGAGAGAAGAAGAAAAATAGAAAAAAAGTTGGGCGAGGCTGGTGGAGTGGTTTGAGTAGTAGAGTGCCTGCCTAGGTACCCTAATACCATAAAAAAAAAGAGAGAAGATGCTATCTCCCCTTAATTCTGCTTGAATAGGGGGTGTGTTTATGATTGTGTGTGTTAAAGAAAAGGCAGAGCTGCACAGTTAAAGCAGGAAAAAAAAGATTTTATTCATAAAACTGAGCTCAATTCTGAACACAGGGAGAGTGGGAAGGAAAGCACGAGGTACCAAGGAGCAGGGGAATGGGGTTATCAGAGGATGGAAATATTACAAAGACAAAACCAACAATGATCTGCCGAGTGCAGTGGCTCATGCCTGTAATCCTAGCTACTTGGGAAGTGGCTACCAGGAGGATCAAGATTCAAAGGCATCCCAGGTAAAAACATCAGGAGACTCCATCTCATCACTGTACCAATAGCTGGGTGCGGTGGTGTAAACCTGTCATCCCAGCTATGTGGGAAAGCACAAATAGAATCACAACCCAGTAAGGTCCAGGCACAAAGCAAGACTCTATCTCAAAAATAACCAACACAAAAGCCCAGCAATGATAAGAGATTCCTGCTAGACTGAGTGAGATTTTTATGTGGAGGGGGATTTTTTGTGTGTCTAAGGATTGAACCCAGGGCCTCCCTCATGCTTCTTTTCACTGAGCTACTCCCCAGCCTTGAGCTTGCTAGGCAGGCACTCTACCACTTGAGCCACTCCACCAGCCCTATTTTGTGTTGGGTATTTTTGAGATAAGGTCTCATGAACTAGTTGCCTAGATTGGCTTGGAACTGTGATCCTCCTGATCTCTGCCTCCTTAGTAGCTGGGATTATTGGTTGCGTGGGTCACCAGTGCCTGGCTGCTTTGGTTACTTTTGAGACAGGGTCTGCTTCTGCCAGAACTGGCCTTATCCTCCAACCTGCTTACACTTTAATAGCTGACGTGACCCGCAATCACCACCACGCCCAACTTTTTGTTGAGATGAGCTCTCATTAACTTTTTTCCCCAGTTTTCCTCTACTCATGATCCTCCCAATCTCCACATCCAAGTAGCTGGGGAAGGCACTGTTTTTGTTTTGTTTTGGTAGCACGGGGGTTTGAACTCAGGGCTTTGCCCTTGTGAGGCAGGTATTCTACGGCTTGAGCCACCTTCTAGCATAGAAGGCATTGTTTTTCAGTAAACTCCCAGAAGGCACAATCTGTGTCTTGTCTGTCTTCCTCTCTTCAAGGTGATGGGGTTCAGGACCTTGTTGGTGAGCTAGGCAAGTACTCTACCAATAAGCCACATTTCCAGCCCTCCATGTTTATTTTAATATCAATATATTTTATGCTAATTATTATAGAAGTCAGTTTATGCCTTCGATTTGATAATTCCATATATGAAAATTTTCTAAGGCAGTGGGGACAAAGTGTGGACAATAACATATGAACATAGAGCTATAGCACACTTCCATCACGAAAATTGCCGAGTGGTGGAGTGGCTCAACTGGTAGAGCACCTGCCTAGCAAGTGTAAGGCCCTGAGTTCAAACCCCAGTACCTCAAAAAAAAAAAAAAAAAACCCATACATGAAAATTACCAATGGCATGTCCACCAATAAACAGTCTTTTAATTATAGTATGCCTAAAGAATGACAGTGCAGACAAGTTAGGTAAATATCAGTGATTTGAAAAAATTCTATCACAGGCGCTGGTGGCTTGCACCTGAAATCCTAGCTACTTGGGAGGCTGACATAGGGAGGATGGTTCTGAGGCCAGTCCACATATTCTGAAGACCCCATTTCCCAAATAACCAGAGCAAAATGGACTGGAGGTGTGCTCAAGCAGCAGTGTCTGCTTTGCAAGTTCGAAGCCCTGAGTTCCAACCTCGGTCCCACTTAGAACTCTTTTTCTGTCATATCATATAATGATGAGGAAAGGAAAAACCAAAATTATTTGTACAGTGTGATCTAGATATGTGATTTAGATATCAGATTCTTCTGTTTTATTTTTCTCAATCATTTTTTCTTTTTTGGTACTTTGAGGTTGGGTCTCACTGAGGCAGTTTAGCAGGCAGGGAAAATACCTTACCAGGGACTCTCTTAAGCCCTGAACCATCTCTAAAGCATGAATCCCCTCCAAATTGTAAATACCCTGTCGGTCATAAATATATTTGCATGCCAGTTAGCAAGGGGGTAGGGGGGGAGAGGGAGGGGGCAGGGGGGTAAGGGAGGGTGTGGGGGAAGGGAGGAGAAAATAAATAAATATATATATTTGCAAGACAGAGTTCAGAATAGGGACCTTTGGGTCTGCCTTGTTTAAAAAAAAAAAAAATTACAGGCCTGACCCCAGTTTGACCTCCCAGGCCAAGTCCTTTTACTGAGGACCTCATGAATATGGGTCACATCTCATACAATTTAAGGCCAAAAATTATCATAAGCACATTTGCAGAATTCCTCTTGTTATGTGACAAGGCTGTGTTAATTAAACCTGCCACCCATCCTAGCCCCTCCCTAAGGACTGCCCAGATTTTTCCCACCTTAAGTTGGACTTAAACTAAGAAATCAATGCCTCTGTGCCACCTGGAAAGCACTGCTTCTTTCCTTTCTTTTCAATAAAGTTTTGCTAATCAATGCCTCCTTGCCATCAGGCAGGGGCCCTCTGCTTTTCTGGCAGTGCTTTTCTTCTCTTTTTCCTCACTCTTTCTTTCCTTTTCTTCCAATAAAGTCTTGTTACTGTTTTGCAATTTGTGTCTCTGTCCAGTTCTCTGTTCAGATGACACAAGAACTTGGAGTCTTCTGGACTAGTGTCTTCTTAGACCAATCAGCACATAGACATCTCTATGTAGCTCAGGCTAGCCTGGAACCTGCGATCCTCCTCCCTCTGCCTCTTGAGTGCTAGGCATGAACCACTATGCCAACCTTTTACATTTTTGACACATAACGGGAAACTTTTTTTTTTGTGGTACTGGGGCCTGAACTCAGGGCCTAAACCTTGAGCCACTCCACCAGACCTTTTTTTTGTTTTTTTGATTTTTTTGAGATAAGATCTCAAGAATGATTTTCCGGGGCTGGCTTTGCACCAGTTAGGATCATAGGTGTGACCCACTGGCACCTGGCAGAACTTTTCTTTTTTTAAGGCAACACTGTTAGTCCACGATATCTGCTAGGGAAAGCTGGTGGTGGCAGGAAAACTTATTTAACTTCTCTAAAACTCAGTTTCTTCATTTATAAAGCAGAAATAAGAAGGCCTATCTCAAAGAAAAATGAAATAACATTTGTAAGGTAACACATAGAATAAAGCCTCCTGGTATAAAAGTCTATCAATAACTGCCAGTCTCCTTCCTTCCCAAGTCTAATATGCCATCCCATGCATAATGAGTATGTTAGTGACATTGATTAATACTATTAGGTTCCAGGATTAGTGTACATGTGTGCTATTACAGTCATTAGTAATTATGACAGATTGACATTTCAGATCCAAAAGGTCATATGCAAGACAGTAACTTTATTGGAGGATTCGCTCTGAGAACACTCATGTCCCTCCTTCTGACATCCTACCCACACCCACATTCATCAACGACCATATCTTCATAATGTCGAAGAATGACATTGTCATTATTGTCTTGGTAAAGAATGGAGATGGGAGACAGCTTTGTGGGGATGCAGGTGGCCTGGGGGACCTCAGGGTCAACCTCATGCATCAGTGCTTGCATGAAGGCATAATTGGAGCTGTTCAAATAAGTGGTCAGTGAGAAGGGACAATCTCCATGACAGTAATTTGCCATAAACCCCTTGGGGGCAATGACCCATTTGTGCCAACCCAGATCCTTGAAGTTGATGAATAGCTGATGACGATGGCAGAGATTCTTGCAAGAAACCTTGGGGACAGGAATGGCTGCCCTCCTTTTTCGTGAAGAAGGCTGACACTGCTCAGGGTTAAGAGTCACCACCAGCAGGGAAGCATGAAAAGAACGTCTCAGCCTGGTGCAGATGTCCTCAAGCTGGAAATTTACACCTGACCCTCTGCCTTCTTGGACCATTATCTCCAAAAATAAGCCCAAGTTCTTTTGGGGGTTGCTGTTCCAACCCTGAACCACATCTTGCAGGCTGAAGCGAAGGGCGCCCTGAGGCCACAGTATGGACTGCAAAGCAAACCTTCTGCCTGGTGTAGGGGTGACTTGGCCCCACTTGTGAGGTTCCTGAACTACAGACAGAGCCAGTTCCAGTTCTGGCCCCAGGTTATAGTAGGAATTGGACCCCAAGTCCAGCCTCAGCTGGGCCATCGTCAATTGTTCCTTTGCTTTGATGGCAGACAAATTGAAGTAGAGGAGTTTCTGTAAACAATAGTCATCTTGGAATGGCTTCTTTAAGTAAAGAAAGAAACCTAGATGGGAAAACAGACATGGGAGAGTCACCATAGTATTTTTTTTTTACTTCATATCTACCTATATGATATAAAGTCAAAATATGCGGACACTGGTGGCTCACACCTGTAATCCTAGCTACTTAGAAGGCAGAAATGAGAAGGATCATGGTTCAAGGCCAGCCAGGGCAAATAATTCATGAGACCTATCTTGAAAAAACTCAATATAAAAAAGGGCTGATGGAGTAGCTCAAGTGGTAGAGCATCTGGAGAGGCAGAGAGGGAGGGGGAGAGAGAGAGAGAAGACATTGTGCTGGAGATGTAGCTCAGTGGTAGAGCACTTACCTAGCATGCACAGGCCTTGATTTGTGGCACTTCAGGAAAAAAATGGAAAAAAAAGACAGGCCACTCTTTCCCTTCTTCCTTGAAGACTGACCTTCTTTAGAAGGGTCCTGCCCAATACCCGGGTAGGAGAAGAGGTGATGCTACAGAGTCCAGAATCGGGAAGCTTTGCTGGGCTTCACCTCTCATTCTAATGCCATTAGACTTTTTTGGGGGGTAGGGGTGGTACTGAGGCTTGAACTCAGGGGGACCTATACCTTGAACCACTCCACCAGCCCCTTTTTGTGATGGGTTTTTTTTAAGACAGGGTCTTGAAAACTATTTGCCCAGACTGGCTTTGAACTTCGATCCTCCTGATCTCTGCCTCCTGAGTAGCTAGGATTACAGGTGTAAACCACGGGTGCCCAGCTTCAACTACTCCTTTACAGTCCCCTACCTATCCTTTACCCAGAGGAGTTCTCTGAGCCTACACCATATCATACAACTCGTGGAAATCACCTCTTTGTAACTGTCTTCTACAAACACTTAAAAAGGACAGACTTCAGTGTTAATCTCTGCAAAGCCAAACCCAACTCCAAGTTCAGAGTAGTTATCCAATAAATACTTCTTAGACAAGTAAATATTCAAATCTTCTCTCTACCTGCTGTAAAACTAACAGCACCTCTCAATTCTACAACAGAACCACCAGGAAGGATGCATAGACATGTAGATTCTCAACCCCAACCCAAACTTTGAATAAGAATTGGGCAGTAGGGTGAGGGACTGGCATTGGCTGGAAGAATGACTTTTAGCAGAAGACCTGGGTAACTCAATAGGTGGTGGGGTTGGAAACCATTGAACAGCCTTCACTCAGATCCTTATGTACAGAATGACAGTGTGTATGTTATTGCCCTGTATTCACAAATCAAGAGAAAAAAAAATCTTGCACCCAACAAAAGTAATGGGAGGGAGGAACCTTGGGAGTGTGGCTCTGTGGCAAGGTGCTATCTAGCATGCACAAGGGGCTACGCTGGAACCCCAGAATACAAAAAAGAAGGGGGAGGAAATGAGCAAGTGTGGAGAAGAGCAAACTGTCATGAGTGTCAAGTGTGTCATGAGCAAACTGGGCTCGATTTTCACCTCTGCTTAGGTATACCTATAATCCCAACACTCTGGAGGCTGGGGCAGGAATATCCAGAGTTCGAGGCCTGTCTCAAAACAAACAAAAAAAAAAGTGGAAGACTGAGCTCCAATTCCACTCTCCTCTTTCTTCTGATCTAAAGCACAGGGTAATTGATTCGGAGAAAAAACTACTTTGAATTCTTGGTTCACACACTAGCTGTGTGGTCCTGACTGGGTCACAGGTTACCTACTGTCTGAGCCTTAATTTCCTGCTTGTTAAAAAGTTGATAAGGATACTTGTCTTTCTCTAGGGATTGTGCTTGGGATTACATGAGATAAATTGTGCAAGACACCAGCACAAGGCCTTCTACCACCACCCTTACCTGTTATTTCCGCTCCCTTTTTCTTTCTTCATACCACTCCTAGATTTTCCTCTGGAAACACTCCAAGTTCCTTACCTTGGTCTGGGACAAGTCGAAGTAAGTTCCCATAGACACCCAGCTCCTTCACGTAGCACAAGTCCTGCCAGTCCCCGGCGGTGGCTGCAGCTTCCCAGTCCTGGAATATTTTGTTCAAGATGGAAGGCACAGGCTGGAAGGTGCGGGGTAATGTCATCTTGTCTAGACCCAGAAACTGAAGAAAGTCATATTCCTGAAGTTGGAGCGTCTGGCCCACAGCCAGCGTTAACAGGAAGGCCAGAGGCAGAAGAGGCGAGGAAAGGAGCATGGCTTCTGGGTGAACAGAGGCAGCCACAGTGCTGTGAGGCAACTGCCCAGCCAGCGGTTCAGGTGCGGCTCATTTATCTGATGGAGGATCATCAAGTGTGAATTGCTCTCTTCCCAGCTTCTCTAAAGCAATTGGGTATGAAAAGGCTGCATTTTTTTTTTTCTTTTGTTGTTCTACTATCCCAGAAAAAAAAAAAAAAAAAACTACCAGTGTGTGGACATAAATTCTACAACTACCTGAGAGTTGTCCTCAGTACACAAAATGCAAAAAACACCCACACACACTTATTCATGCAACAAACAGGTATTAAAGCACCTGTGATGTGCAAGGTGCTGACAGCAGGGCTAGGAGCACAGGAGAGAGTAATTCATTATAACAATTTTTTTTTTAAAGAAACAGTCTCCCTAGGTTGCCCAGGCTGGTCTTGAACTCCTAGGCTGAAGTAATCTGCCTATCTCAGCCTGTCAAGTAGCTGAAATGCCAGCATAGTCTAATGAGACAAACACTGACTGGCTGTGTAGCTCAGTGATTGAGCACATGCTTAGCATGTGTGAGAACTTGCCACACAAAAAAATGTTTAATTAAAATCACTTTTAAATAAATAGGTTCTAAAGATCTATATCCACTGTGTAGTGGTGTGGTGTGGGAAACAATGAAGCAATAAACTGCCCAAGGAAGTTAATCTTCACTCCCCATCTATTTTCACTTCATTCTTCTAACTGAACCCTTCGTAACTAAACATCAAGAGTCAGATTGGGGCTGAGGCATGGCTCACAAGGCCCTGAGTTCAAATCCCAGTACTGTGAAAAAGAAAAAGAGTCAAATTCATTGGCTTAGTTCTAGTTCATTACTTATTAGTCAAATGACATTGGGCACATCACCACGTCACTTAACTTCACTACAGTTTTGTTTTCTCAACTAAAAATAAAAAGGAGCCTAATCTGCACTGGAACATTGAAGAGTTTGTACATGGAGAGCCCTCCACACAGTGTCTGCCTTGAGGCATGCACACACAAAATGTTCGCAGAGGGAAACAAACAAAGGATGTCCACAGAGGAGGCAAGTCGAAGCACAAGCACACATTTTGTCAGTGAGACAATTCGGACTGTGTGTGGGAAAGCTGGGAAGGCCCTGAAAAGTTTAAGGAGGTAGCAATGACGAAGTTCTGATTTTAGTTTTTGTTCATTTTGGGTTTTTTGTTGTTGTTGTTTGTTTTTTCTGATAGGGTTTGAACTCAGGGCCTCACACTTGTGAGGCAGGCACTCTACCATTTGAGCCACCCCACCAGCCCTGTTTCTTTGGTTTTGAACAAATTAATAGTAGATTTTCAAATGCTATTTTTTTTTCTTTTTTCTTTTCTGGGGATTGAACTCAGGGTCACCGATTTTTCAAATGCTATTGAAGAATTAACTAGGTTAAGTGGAGAGACGGCTCAGCGGAAGAGAGCTTGCAAAGTATGCATGTGTAAGACCCTGGTTTCATCCCCAGCACTGCAAAATAGTAGTTTGTTCCAAAAATAACACTCAAACCTTTTGAGAAGGAAAAAAAAAAGCATCTCATATTTAATAATTTCTGGTCACAGGCTAAAACCTGAACACCATAGCGTGGCCTTTGAGGACTTTCTTGGTCTGACTCCAGGTCCCTAACCACTCTCCCTGCTGATGTTCCAATGATATTGGCCTGTCTGAGTCCTCCTATGAGATGGGCTCATCTCAGAGCCTTTGTAAAGGCCAAGTTCAGATTCTCTTGTGCTACAAACACTTCTCAATTGGTCAAAATAGATCTAGATACTTCTCCTAATAAGCATTGAGTGGGCATCCACCATAACGTATCACACAGCACCTCCCAGACAATGTTCCTTCCTGTGAACAGCGAACACAACACTGCAAAGCCCATTGACAGTCTTACTATATGTAGCCCAAGCTGTCTGCAAATTCATGGTCCTCCTGTCTCTACCTCCTGAGGGCTGGGATTGGAGACAGACACTACCACACCTGGCCTAACTTTCATTTTGGTTTTATTTTAGTCATAAGCCTTTAGAACGAAATACATAATTGTCTTCATTCAAATTTTTTTCTATACTGAGGTTTGAAACCAGGGCTTTGCACATACAAGTCAAGTGCTCTACCACTTGAACCAGGCACCCAGTCCTGCTTTTATTCAAATTTATTGTACACAACTTCATCATTTTTCATGGCTATTTAAACTTCTTTGCTACTTGGTTTTTCATTTGTTTTGTTTAAGCTTTTTTTTTTCTTTTTTGCCATACCAGGGTTTGAACTCAGGACTTCACACTTGCTAGGGAGGTGCTCTACCACTTGAGCCACACCTCCAGCCCTTGGGTTTGGTTTTGTTGTGAGGTCGTCATTGTTGCTGTTGTTTTTGAGAAAAGGTATCGCTATGTAGCCCAGGTTGCCCTGGGATTCTCCTGATCCCCCTGCCTCAGCCTCCAGAGTACTGGGATTACAGATGTGCACCACCATACCTGGCCTTATTGAAATTTCTTTTTCTGCTAGAGGCATACCTCAAGTGATGGAGCACCTGCCTCGAAAGTGGAAACTCTGAGTTCAAATCCCAGTATGAAATTTCTTTTTGAAATTCCATTATCCACTTTTCTCTTCTGCTATTCACTTTTTTAAACTTTAGCTGGTTGTTGTGGCATGTGCCTGTAATCCAGCATTTGGGAGGCAGAGGCAGGGGTCCATTGAACCCAGGAGTTCAAATCCAGCCTGAGCAACTAGCAAAACCTTTTCTCTGAAAAACAAACAGCAGACTTAAAAACAATGATAATAATAGTAAAAGTAATTATAACAATAAGACATGAATGTTAAAGGAAGACTGTTGGGGGGCAGAGAGGGTAGGGAGAAGAAGGGGTAATGAGGGTGAATGAAAATTGCATAATGAACCGCACTAGAACTATAAAAGAAAAAAAAAGGGAAGTTGGACAAGGTGGCTCATATTTATAATCCTGGCTAGTGGGAGGCTGAGATCGGGCAAATAGTTTGCAAGACTCCATCTCCAAAATAACCAGAGCAAAATGGACTGCAGGTATAGCTCAAGCAGTCCTGAGTTCAAGTTCCAGTCCCACCCCACCCCCCAAGAAAGAGATATAAATATATGAAAAAAATTCTGACCAGGCACCGGTGGCTCACACCTGCAACTCTAGCCACCTAGAAAGCAGAGATCAGAAGGATGGCGGTTCAAAGCAAGCCGGGGCAAATTGTTTGTGAGACCCTATCTTGAAAAAACCCATCTCACACACAATAAAGGGTTGGTGGAATGGCTCATGCTATAGATCCTGAGTTCAAGCCCCAGAACAGCAAAAAATAAATAAGTTCTTTGCAGTGCTGGAGATCAAGCCCAGGGCCTCGTATGTAGTGGCAAGCACTCTTACAGTGAGCCACGCCCCACCCCCACTTCATTCTGTTTAATAACAAGATCCTGTTGCAGTCTGTGATTTACTGAGCTAATGCCCTATTGAGTTCCCCTGGGTTGTTTCCAGTTTCTCTTATTACAAAGCTCTTTGCTAACCCAGACCTCAAGTCTTGCCGTCTGGGAATCACTATTTTTCCCAGGCTAGGTCCCGTTCCACTCTCTAATCACAGTTCCCTCCTCAAACTTTTCCTCCTCTCTTACCTTCATTCCTTTTTTTTTAAGTCAATAAATTTTCATTTAACAATGCTTTATTTGTTACCTGTTATGATTGGTTCATGGCCTATCAAGATCATCTCTCCCTTTATAAAAGATGCTTAATTCAGTTGTCCCACCAGCCCTACTAACAAGCACAACAACTAGGAAGGAACCCTGCTACATACAATTACATGCAAATGTTACAGTGTTATGTTTGAAAGTATTTGACTATTGTAAAAAGCTCATTAGCAATGAAGTAGATATTAAAAAAGTCCTGTGAGGGCTGGTGGAGTGGCTCAAGTGGTAGAATGCTTGCCTAGCAAGCGTGAGGCCCTGAATTCAAATCCTAGTGCCACCAAAAAAGAAAAGTCCTGTGAACAGGCCAGGCATGCATTCATGCCTGTATTCCTAGCTTACCAGGAGGATCAAGGTTTGAAGCCATCCTGGGTAAATAGTTCATGAGACCCTATCTCAAAAGAAACACATTTACAGAAAAAGACTAGCAAAAGGGCTGACAGAGTGGCTCAACCAGTAAAAGCATCTGTATAGCCAGTGAGGCCCTGAATTCAACCCCAGTGTTGCCAAAAAAAAATAAAAAGGAAAAGGGGAAAGTCCTGTGGTGTACACAGTTATTTCACAGGTTTTTTGTTGTGGTGGTTTCTTTGGGAGGACGGGGGGTTAGTGGCATTGGGTTTGAACTCAGAGCCTCATATTTGCTAGCTTGCTAGGCATGTACTCTGCCACTTCAGTCACTCAACCAGTCTTACAGTTATTTCTACTGGGTGATATTGTTACCAATAGGTTGATTGCTATCAAGGCAGCATGTAGAAAATCCGGTGGGAAAATTGTTATGGTCGTGTCCACAGCAGTTATTACCATTCTGAGCTTGCTTGCTTAAAGTAATCAAAAAAGAACTGGTTCGGGGACACATAGCACATTCCTACAATCCTAGCACTTAGGGGGCTGAGGCAGGAAGATTGCTTGTTTGAGGCCATTCTGGAATATACAGTAAGAACCTGGAGGGAGAGAGAAAGAAATAGACCTACATCCATTTGTGAACCTACACATTCTGCCTTCCTTTCACTGTAAATGAGCTCCCTAAAGCCAGTGTCTGGATTTATGCTGTGCCTATTTGATTACTCCTTGTCATAATTCAGAATTTCTCTCTTCAATTTCATCCATTTTTTTCCTCTTTACTGGATCCTTCCTAGTAGTATAAATCTTTTTTTTTCCTTTTGTGATGATGGGGACCAAACCAAGGGTCTCAAACATACCATGCAAGCTCTTTACTACTGAGCTACAACCCCAGCCCAATTTTTCCCATCTTAAAATTTTTGGCAGTACTGAAGTTTGAGCTCAGGGTCTCACAC